TGAATTGTCCTTTTTTTTTTGAGACAGAATCTTGCTATGTAGTTCAGGCTGCCTTGAACTCACTATGTAGCCCAGGCTGGCCTTGAACTTGCAGTGATCCTCCCTCAGCCTCCTCAGTGCTGCGAGTTTGGTTGGATTGTACTATTTTTCCTATCAATTTTTAGAACAAAATGATGGCTTAATACTGTGCCTTTGCTAGAATGACATGAGAAAAGCAATTTTTTGAACCTGTTCAGGTACTGTGGATGTCATTCATTAATTCTCGATAAGGAGGGCCGGGGATTTAGCTCAGTGGTTCTGTGGCCTGCCTTGCAAGTGCACGGTCCTGACTTTGATCCCAGGCACCAAAAATAAATAAATAAATAAAAGAAGAAGAAAAAAGAAAATTCCTGATAAGGTAATTGATGCATTATTTATCCTAATTCTCGGTTATCTTTCCACCATTGTCACGTGGCTATCTTAGGGTAACATATAACCACTCAGAAAGAACAGGATGCCATGCAACCATTTGGTTTCCTTTACAACTACAAGCTCACATTAATATAGATCTAATTGCTTTCTTCATAGTCATAATGTGTTCCTTGGTTGATTGATTAGTTTACAACTAAACCACTTGCACCTATACATAGTTTATTCTCTTACAGGGAAAACTCTATTTTACCTGAAGCTCAGGTTCCATTTTTGAGGTGAGAGATGTATCACACCTATGGAGAAGCAGAAAAATCTCACAAAGAAACATAATTTTTGATTTCTACTTTCTTACATTGTATATATTTATAATGCAGGAAAATCCTTCTGTTCAATCTAGTAGATACTGTCACAAGAAAACTCGACAGCACAGAAGCATGTTAATGAAGTAAAGGTAAGTGGAACCCACATCTCTTTCAGACACTTGATCTTTTTAACATGGCACTGGTCATTATCTAACTTTAATTACAGGATCAAATTACTTGTCAAACATGTATTGTTACTTACTCCTGTCTGCTCTGTCCCAATCCCTGTTTGTAATCCAATCAGACAACAGCACTTATTTCAAAACAAAGAAATTCCACCTTCCTGAATTTATTGTGTAAAACTATAAATGAAAATCTTTATCATATTAAGACTTCTTTTTTCCTTCCTCTCTCCTTTCACATGTAAAGATAGCTGCCTGAAGGACAAAATTGTACTTCAAACTATGTTATGAACATCTGCACAATAGCCTAGTGATTGCCAATGTTCCAGCATGTGCAGCACTGTACAGCCACTCAAAAGACAAAAGGTTTTTTTTATTCCCAAGTTGTTTTTTATTTTTCATATTGTCAACCTCACCAGACAATAAATAATATACCTACTGGTAAAGGGATGACTTATAAGAGTGCTTGGAAGTACAATGACAGGCAAGAAAACACATCTGAGGCAAAAAGAACACAGGCAATTACAGGAAAGTACATTCTAATCTACCTTAAAATTTTAGGTTCTTGCAAGTGCACAAAAAGTCTTCTGTTTAAGCGAACAGTTGTACACAAAATCTGCTCCCCTGTGAGCATGTAAATTGTCCATTTTCTTTTTAACTTAACATTTACTAAGCACCTATTTTGTACACAGCATTATTTAAGTATAGAATGGGCACAAGGTAATTCCAAATGTACTTTGGCTACCAGTTCATAATTACAGGCATTATCCCTCTTACAAAGCCGCTGTTGTGAAATGCCTGAAGTGGACAGTTAAGGAAAAATAGGTATTTTATAATAGTCCTGGGAGTCATTATAAGTGCTTAAAGCAGCAAAGAAAATAAGAGAAAAAAGCAGCTCTTAGAAGTAGAACAAAACACGCAGTCACCACCTGTAGTCTAGCACTATTATCAATCCTTTCTCCATTATTTATGATAAACTCCTCCATTTATGTTTTCATACAGGATGCCCAATCCTATCACTGTAAGCGGGGCAGAATGGTAACTACCGAAATTTCCTCCTATTGTTTCCAATACCCATTTACCTTGTTGGTTCTGGCCCCAAGCTGTATTATTTTCACTTGAAACATTAAAAATGCATTTGGTCCAAGTTGTTCAGCAGCAAGTCAGTACATCCAAAAGCAAAACCAAAGCTTATGGAACTGGGATCTAGGTATATAATCACTAGCAATGGGACAAGTTGCTTTTGGTCACCCTCCCATTGTAAAAGTGGAAGTATCTTTTGCTTGGCCTGAAGAAATTCCCCTTTTTACACGGGAAGCACTGAACTGCCTCACATCCTTCTCTTGACAATAATTTGAAAAGCCGATGTGAAATTTATTATATAGTGAATTCCATTATAAGCAGTTCAGTTCTTTGTTTCTAGGTAGAAGACAGCACCTGGGTGGCAACTGCACCTTCCTTTAATAATCTCTTTCTCCCCATTCCAGACACTTGCTAAACTTAGTAGCAGGAATGCCTGCCAACCAAGTCGCTTCTACTGCACTGGGAGAATTAAGTAGTGTGGAAAGGTAGAATATTAGCTGGGGCCTATGGGCAAGAACCTACTTAAGCTTTGTTTGGAAAAGTCTTATAAATATGAAAGCATCCTCCAGAAGTGCTGCAAATTCAAAAACTGTTTTAATTACTTTTAACAGTATTTAAACATTAAAGACTAAATTTGCATTGGCAAAAGAGAAAATCTGAATTTAATCAGGAAAAAATTCCAAGGTCTCTGGTAAACTTCATTGTCAATATGCTTTTCATCACATGGGGGAAAAAAACCTGAATTTTATCATGCATTGATGTATACTCACTTGTACAGTTATATCGACAATCTGTTTTACAGCTATTCTATCAGTAATCACCCAAAAACTTACTGATTAACCCACAGTGCCTGCATGGAGAAAAATGAGCAATCATTTCAAAATTAAATTAAACCTTGTAGTAGTTTTGTTTTAATTTATGCTTTTCTGTGAACTCTACACATGCATATGGAAAGGCAATGGGGGATCCTAGCCCAATTTACAAATAGCAATTAAAGAATATCTTGGAGAGATTATTTTGGTTTGGGCCTATGCTTCAAAGTTTAATGGACAGATGAAGAGTAGGCATATCTGCCCTTGTTCCCCACCTTAGGGAAAAAGCATTGTATCTTCTCCATTCATATAAGACATTTTTACTGGAAGCATGGAGTACATGTCTTTAATCTGTTGAGAAGGTTCTGTTCTACTTCTAGTCTCCTGATAGCTTTTACCATGAACAGCTGTAGAATTTAGTCCAATACTTTTTCTCCAAATACTGACAGGATCATATGGCTTTTTCCTTTCCTCTGTTAAAATGATGACTTTTGGGGGTGGATCTTCCAATGCTGAACCAACACTGTCATCCCTATAACAAAACCACTTTCTACATCCTGCCAGATCTGACTTCTAATAGTTTGTTTTACTAAACAAATTTCTATCTATGTTCATACTTTTTTCTTCTATTATCTTTATCCAGGTTTAGTATTAGCACAATGTTGATTTCCTAAAATGAGGAGAGAAATGTTCCTTCTTTTTTTTGCTTGAAATGTTTGGTATAATTTATCAGTTAAAATGTATATGAGCCTGCTGTTGTCATATAGGTAGGTTTTCAAGCTAGGAATATACTTTCTCTTTTTTTGTATTAAATTCTTTTATTGGTACATTGTAGGTATACAACACAATTACATTTCTCATTGGGAATTGTACCTTTATATAATGCATCTTGGTTATTTTTTCCCCGTTCCTAGCCCTCCCTTCACACCCTCCACCCTTCCCTATTTACAAAGACTTTATTTCCATTTTTTCCATTTCTCATCATTTTTTCCTTTCCCTTCTTTCCTTTCCCCTGCCCCTCCCACTACCCCTACCCCTTTGGACCTTTTCTTCCTATTTTACATTATCGATTAAGGAATATACTTTCTTTAATAGGTGCTATTCAAATTTTATATTTCCTCCACAGTTAGTTTCATTAATTCGTCTTCCAAGGTACTTCTTAGAAGTTGTCAAATTTATTTCAAAAAAGACTTTTGTAATATGCTTTCTATATCCTTTTAAATTCTGTAAAATCTGTGGTAATGTCTCCTAAATCTTGATATTGTATTTTTTAAAATGTATAATTGATATTGTGTAATAGGAACTAAAGGTCTAAAGCAGCAGGGAAAGTGGGAGGGGTAGGGGAAAGGAAAGAAGGGAAAAGAAAAAATATGAGAAAAGGAAAAAAATGGAAATAAAGTCTTTGCAAATAGGGAAGGGTGGAGGGGGTGAAGGGAGGGCAGGGGAATGCGGAACAAGTAAGAACCAAGATACATCATGTAAAGGTACACGATCCCAATGATGAATACAACTGTATTTTATACTTAAAATGTACCAATAAACTTAATGGGGGAAAAAAAGACTATCTGGGAGAAAAGAACTCCTTCGAAATACATTTCTTTAATTAGACCAACAATAAATTCATACATTGTATCTATCTATCTATCTATCTATATATATATCAAACAAAAAATGTTCAGAAAAACACACAGTAGGTCTAGCACAATCATTATAAAATTACAATCACCTAAATGCCAGCTTGCATCATTTCCCTTGGCTTCATTTTTTTTTAACCATAGAAGCGAACTGTGCGCTGAAAACTAAAGTCACCTTTTTAATTTCCCAAAATTCCCCCTTCTGCCCTTCAGACAGGTAGTAAAAGCAAGCTGCCCAAACGTGGAGCTCCGGGGAGGGAAGAGACACGGTTCTGCCAGACAGCTGCACCACTGCTCCACGCTACATGGAAATGGGGAAATGAGTTGTTAAAGCATTTGCTGATGATATGTCATGCGAGAAGTTCCTTTACATTAATAAAGAAGAAAAAAGAAAAAGGAAGAAGGAAGGAAGGTGGGGAAGGGGAGGATCAAAGCTCTAAAATCGCAACAAAGTTTCGGGATCAATTTTCTTTCTATTCGTGGTTTTGTAAAATAAAGTTTAAAAGACATCGCATTTCGTCGGCGTCCTAGAAAGGCAGGCACTCTCAACAAACCCCAACTCGTCTCCAGCCTTACCTTATGATGCTAGCGCAAACCCAGAAGCTAAGGGGCCCTGCTCTCGGCGGCAGCAGTAGGGGCAGCGGCAGCGGACAGTGGCACATGCCATCTGTTAGCGGCAGAAGCAGAAGAACCGCTGCGCGAGGTGGCCCCTGCGCCGGGAGAGCCTTTAGCAGGGGTGTATACTGAATGTCGCCATTTTAAAGCGAGGTTCCTGAAATCATTAGATATAAGCAAATTAAAGCCCGCCCCACCTACATAACTTCAGGGCTGGGACGTGCTACCCGGCTCAGTCGGCCGCAGTGGGGTGTAAAATGTCAAGTCTAGAGACACGCACAGGGGGACTCTCCGACAGAGGCGACAACCCCTCCGCTCCCCTCTCCCCCGGGCCGCCCCCGAGCTTCTGCGAGCCCCCTCCGGCCCCCAGAAGAGATGAGGTCCTCTCCTCCGGACCCCAGGGGGGCTCCTGCCCCGGGCCGGCCTGCGGGCCAGGGGCGGGGACGGGGGAGCGTGCCGGCCCTCCCCTGCGCTCGCATCCTCTTGGTTCAGTCCACTTGGAGCACACCTCGGAGCACCCCGGCTCCCTCGCGGCCGGCGGGATGGCGGGCAGGGGGCTCCCGCCCCGGCTAGCGGCTGCCATGGCAACTCCGGCCCAAACCCCGGCCGGCCCTAACCAAAGGCTTGCCCCGTGTCCCGGTAGGCGCCCTCGGCCAGCTGCGCCCTCTCAGGGTCCGCCGGCCTGGGCAGCCTGGGCCCGGCGCCACCGGGGCCGCGGCTCTCAGTGTCCCGGGCCTGACACAGGGGCGCGCCGAGGGAGGGGAGCCGGTGAGGGGGCTTTGGGAGCCAAATCGGCAACTCGCGCGAAACTTGCGGGGCTCTGGAGCCGCGTTCCGGTGGCGGCCGTAGCAGCGGCAGCGCCGAGCTCGGAAGCGGTGCGCGGCCGCCCTCGGCCTCCCGGCTCCGCCCCGCCCCGCCGGGACCGGCCAGGTACACCTCGCGCCCGCACCCGCCAACCTCACCTGGCTCGGCGCCGCTCCCGGCCCGGCTCCCCGCTGCCAAGCGGACGGCAACTCGGACGCCCGCTGCCCGGGCTTCCGCGCTCACCCCGGGACTCTGTCCTCTGCCTCCCTCTCGCTGCTCCGAAGAGCGCCAAAAAGTCGCGCTCCCGATCACGCTCAGAGTGCGGGCACTTTCTTCCTGTAAGGCGCTGTTTCGTCGCGAAATACACTCTTTGTGTGATTCGTTCTTTCGTGCTGGGTTTTCGGAGCGCGCAGCGCGGGCTTTATTCTCAGGGGGTGTGGCGCCTCTTCCCCAAACCCCGCAGCCCAGCCCCCGCCGCGAAGGCCCTCCGTCATTTCATTCTGAAGAGGAGGGGGGAATCACCACTCTCAGGTTAGAGAGAAAGGAAAACAAACGGAGCACGTACGCGTGCTGTTGGCACCGCCAAAGTTTCCAGAGCTTCGGAACGGAAATGCCAAGGAAATGCAGAGGGGCTCAAGGCTGTGAGCCTAGAGACACGCCAGAGACCCCTGAGGCGAAATAGGTGATGCTAAAAATGAGTTAGTCGATAAAAAGTATCAACTCATTGTAGGTTAAAGAAATACTCACCAGCTGCCTTTCTTGGTCCTCTCCCTTCCAAAACTGTCCCAATCTTTTATTTCCCTGTAAGAACTTCGCCAATGAAAATGGTCATCAGTGCAAATAGTTGCCCTTCTTCAACGGAGTTGCAGGGTAGGAAAGACGCCGAGGTAAGCGTCCGGATACTTTTGATTGGAAAATGGACAAAGCAAATGCAGTTTTATATTTGATTAAAAAGCGTGCATCTGGACAGCTAAATTACAAGTTTCAATTTAATGCAAGTGTAATAGGAGCACCAGCTGTCCTTTAATTGGAGCTCCGCAATAATAAACGCGTGCTTTTATTTAATTTTATGAGGACAATTGTAGTTGATAACGCACGCATATGCACGATCATCACTGACAAGCTCATAGCAATTCAGGGCTGCTTTCCTGTAATCAACTGCTTTACCTGAGGACTCGGCTCTCCAGGCTCTACAGAAAGTGCAAAACGTCGCGGGGATATTTAAGCAGCGGTAGGTCGAGGAGTGGAGTGAATTCTCGAGCTAATTATACTTGTTAATTCTGCTGGACGGATTCAAATAGAATTCTCCAGCTAATTTTAGGCAAGAAATCAATCTTTGTTTGGTAAATGCAAGATAATAGCAGTAGGATCCTAATGCTAGGGAGAAGATTGAGTAAAACCGCCCTTTGCATAATTGAGAAAATCCCCCATGGCTTTTCGCAAGAGCTGCGAAAGTGATCAGGACAACGTGCAGGGACAGTGTGTGACACTTTGTGATTATGGGTAGAATCCTACCCTAAGTCAAAAAGAGCAGGAATTTCTAATTATCGCACTAATTTCTAACCATCTAGCTGTACCGACCTCCCTTCAAACTGGCCAAATTGCCTGTCTGGCCTTAAAAGTCAAATTTGTCTGACATATAGGAAGTGGCTTTGGCAGTCCAGGAACTACCACAGCTAAAAGTAGTAGGTGTTGGCTACCACAAGAGGCTGGAGAGAAGGGCAAGGCTGAATTATATAACTTTATACCCAATGATCTAACAAATGTGGAACTGTTATCACCAGGAGTCAACAAAGGAGTCTTTATACTCAACATAACTTGGGTCAACACTAGGACTCTTACCTCTGTCCACCATTGCAAGCCCCATCTCCTGTAGGACACTCGGGGTTTCCCTAATAACACACCAACTGGCTCAGTTTTATTGTTCTTGAATTCCTGAAATCCCTGTTCTATCATAAATGTAAGGTAAATGCTAATTCTTGGGATAGTACAGCTTCCACATTTTCTCTGGCTTGAAATTGCAGGCTAGTGAAAAATTGCAAATGAGGCTGTATCATTTTCTTTCCCACACTGGGGGCAGAATATAACCTTATAAACAAATTGCAGCCTGCTAAACTGTCTTCCTTTTATCTAGGGTGGCCTGACCTCCACAAGGGTCGCTAGGCAAATTTCTATGCCACCCAGCCACTGGGGAGGATTTGCAAAGGCTGTAGGAAGTTGTTGTTCCCTCCCCTTGGCACTTTAAAAGGACTCATTTGCTCTCTAGGGTGGACTCACCTTGAAATTACTTTCCACTTTACTAGAGTGGTTAGAATACCCGACATTTTCTCTTCTGTTCTTCTCCTTAGGCATGATTGGGGACGTGACCCAGAAAAAAATAAGGCTGTTTACTGACTAATAAGCTAGATGAGTTCTTCCCATAATGTAAGTACATTATTGTCTTTCTATACTTATGCCTATTCCTCTTTTGCAATGTGAGATTGTCTCAGAACCACTATCCTAATGGATCTTCAAAGGTCAGTGCCTTGCAAAACTTGGACTCAAAATACCAGTCCTGTGCCTCCACTACAAAAGGTCACACGGAGTCATGTAAGCAAACTTTTCAGCACACTTTGGGAACATTCTTCCTCGAGCTCTTACATCCTAAAGCTTGAAATGGATGCTTATGTGGAAGATGTAAGGCTAATACTCATGTAAGGATGCAGCAGCCTTGCAAGTAGAATGTCCTTCCAATAAAATATAATTAACTATGATGCAGAAAAGATTTCTAAAAGTTACTTAATGGTTTAGTAACAAAGGGATCATTGTGATCCACCACCAAACAAATGTTGCTGTGTTTTTAAAGATGCTGGGTAGGTGAAAAGGTAAACTCAATTCTCACTATATTGTAGTAAGATTATCTTTTCATTCTTATCCTAAGCCACGTAACTCATTTAGTATTTTTTAGATTGTCAACCTGTGCTATGGACAAATGGGAAAGACTCCCACCTGATTGAAATCCGTGGAGTCGTCCTCATCACCCTGGGATTATCAGCACCAGTACTATTTGCTGCTGCTCTGTTCTAGAGATGGCCCTGCAGCCTGCAGCTATACCGTGACATATATAAGCATTTGAGAAAGAGGCCTGTGGCCACTGAAGAGTAGTTCAAGAGCTATAGACATTGTTCATTATTCATTTATTCCTGAAAAGCCTTTTTCATTCAGAGTTGGGAACTTGGAGTTTGAGGTTCACACAAAGTTTCCAGCTAAAGAAAGAGAAAATAAAAGCAGAATCTGGTTGTTAAAAAAAGTTTGCATAATCAAACTATGTTGGCTTCCAAGGTAACCCCCCTGTAAAATAGAGGAGACTCTATTTCCTACAGAAGAAAAGGAAAAGAAACCTAGTAACTAGCAAAATACTGAAAGAATTGCAAACATAAATAATAAATTGATCAACAATTATCAGATTGTAAAGAAATTTCCTGAAACTTAGGTTTTTTTCAAACTTGGACAAAATTGTCAGAATTATCTGGGTATATTCTAATAAAAAGAGAAGAAAATAGGACAAATGTCGAAGAAACACATCTTTCAAAACACACTGGGACCTGTTGGATTTACAAGGCAATTTCCCCCTAAGTCTTTGAAGAATATATTATAGGAATTATCCTTGATTATTTAAAAGTATGGTATGTTTCTTGAAATGATCTTCAGATGGAAATGTGCTAGTAATGAATGATACAGACAAAAATGATACAAAAAGATAAGAATAATACAAAGGGTAAAATGCTATAAAAAAGAAAAACAAGGCCTGTTCTCGCTTACGAATGTGAACACTATAACAGCAACCATTTAATGTGGAACTACACCACACAAGGCACTTGTTAGCTCACTGAATTCTGACAACAGTCCCTGAGGTAAGCGTTATGATGTCCCCATGCTAAAAACTGGTAAAATGACTCATCCACAGTGACAAGCAACAGCACTACTAAATAGCAGAGCAAGGATTCTGAAGCAATTTCCTCTGGTGGCAGAACTGACACTTTTAACTTCTCCCCATGCTGAGTAAGACTGCTGTGAGGTCCAGTTCCACTGGAGCTCAGATGTTTGCTCCACCCTGCGTACCATAATGCCTCTCATTGATGTGGGCAAGTTAACTATATGCTACAAATATAATATAGAAACTTATGAAAATAATTTTAAAACTTGATCAAGTATTGTTTATTCCAGGGGTGTAAAGAATTTCAACAAAAATGTTAATATTCTTGAAAAATATATGATTATTCCAAAATACGAATTTGATAAAATCCAGTTCCTATGTATGTTTTTTTTGTTTGTTTGTTTTGTGTTTTGTGTTGTTTTTTTTTTAAACAGGGTCTGGCTAAGCAGTTCAGGATGGCCTTGAACTCACTATGTAGCCCAGGCTGGCCCCAACTTGTAGTGATCTTCCTGCCTCAGCCTCCTGAGGGCTGGGATAACATGTGTGCGCCACCACACCCAGCTAGTTCATACTTGCTTATTGTATCCACATCTAGGAATAGTGAACTGTGTATTTAACATGATAAAGTGTACATACTCCAAAAGCTCAGAATTGCCTACCTATTGAAAAAAATCATTTTCCCTAAAAGCTGGAGCAAGCACTGACAACTTTAGTGTTTCTAAGCAATTCCTGTTTGGGCAGTAAGGCATGAAAATAAGTGGTCATAAATACTGGAAAGGAAGAATTCAAAAAAATTTTAAACTATATTTTCAGAGCAATTTAAGTCCAAAGCAAAATTGAGAGGAAGATACAGAGATTTATCATATAGCCCTGCCCCCATTTCTGTACTACCTTGCCTACCCACTTCTTAAGGTCCTCCACTAGAGTGGTACATTGTTAAAAACTGATGAATCTTCATTGACACCCCCAAATCACCCAATCCAGAGTTTTCCAGGGTGGATAGGATCCACTTTTGGTGGTAAACATTCTATGAGTTTAGACAAATAAATAATGACATTTATCCATCATTGTAGTATCAGAGTAGTTTTACTGTCCTCAAATCCAAGATAAAGAATTTTTAGAAATTAATTTTTTCCATCCCCTTTTCCCTCCATTCCCTCCATCTCCTGTTTTCCCATTCATTTGAAAATGATCTCTCTACTTACTATTTATCTATCTTCTATTTTTCACCCCCTATATATATTATGTACATGTATATGTATAGGTTTTGAGTTTCTCATATAAGAGAAACGTTGCAATATTTATTGTATACCTAGAAAAGTCACAAAATTTACTGACAGAGATTAGACATAACTACAATTTGTCAAAATCACAAAATACAAGGGAAATAGTCTTTGAAAGCCAATAAATTACCTATTTCTAAGCCAACCATAAAAGCAAAAAAAGAAAGACATTTTAAAAAAGCACAAACATATTTGGAAACATTATGCAATCAGAAGTTTGAGAAGAAATGATATGAAGTCTTAATGACAGAAATAAAGAAAATTTGAGAAAATGTAAAAGTATACTATATTTCTGAATGTGAGCACAGTATGGACACTTTACAGATAAATTTATAAATGTAAATAACTCAAATGAAGCTATCCTTTCAAAAATGATACTATATTAATCTGTAGTAGCAATCGCACATGACTATCATAGGAAAACAAAAGTCTAAAAGAATTCTGCACTATTAGAAGGCATTATAAGTTTATGCTAGTTTAAACAGCAGAATTCTGACCAGTAAATACAACAGTGAGACCAGGAAAAAGGCCTAATAAATGTAAGAATTAAATGTTTGATGAGCAAAGCATAACTAAACAACAGCGAAAACATTTTTTTTTATTTAATAAATTCACTTGGGGTAACTGGTCATGAATATGGAAAGAAATTAACATAAGCTTTTATATTTTATGATAAATGATAAGTCTTTCCACATAAACTAAAATGTGAATTTTTTTTTGGTACTGGGAATCGAACTCAGGACCTTGTGCTTGCCAGGCAGGCACTGCACCACTGAGCTAAATCTCCAGCCCTGTGAAATATTTTTTAATACTCCCCAAAAACCTAGGAAGAACAGAATATTTAACTCTATGTGGATTTTTTCAAAGTTTTGAAATCATAGGAATCATTACAAGGGGAAGCCTGGTCAGAGAACATAATACAGTAAAGTAAAACCAATACTGAAACTAATATTAAATTATAGAAATCGTAGGTTCAACAGAGAAATTAATAACATATAAACTGCATTACAATTCCCAATAAGAAATGTAATTGTGTTGTATACCTACAATGTACCAATAAAAGAATTTAATATAAAAAAAACATATAAACTGCATACAGTAGTGTTACAAATCTACAAGACCTTTACTAGATCTCCCAGGGACAAATGGTCAAAGAACTCCACATGGAAAGAAACATTCAAATTGACTGGCACCATTTGAAACTCATTAAGTTGCCAAAAATGACAATTTACAAAATCTAATGCTACATAGGTCCTGGAAGAACAGGCACTGCAAATTGAGCCAAGAATCATAAAAATCTTCATAGTCTTAAACCCGGGAATTCTGACCATGGAAATTATCTTAAAGTAATACTTCAAAAGAAGGGGAAAAAAACCTAGCTCAAATATTTTTTAAAAACTTAGAACAAAGTCCATATCCAAAGAAAAGTAATGCTTAGATTAGTTATTATATATTAATCTCAGTAAATCATTTGAATACTGTAATTTAAAAAAACAAAATTGTATAGGAAGTAAGATTAATAAAAGGTTACAGTGAAAATTCTAACTTAATTCTAAATTATATTCTTCATTTTGGTTGAATCCATGTGTATTAGTAAAAATAATGATCAGCAAACCCTGAAGATTTTTTTATTAATTATATTGGTACATTTAAGGCATACAATATAATGACATTCATCATTGGAACCAAAGATTTATATTTAAGGTTTTTTAAAAGTTAGCATGGGGATATTATTCTATTTATTTTTATTATTTTAATACTATGTTTAATAAAAGATGATTAAATTGGAGAAATAAATAATTTCATATGAAAATTCAATATCTATTTCAAAGAACCAATTCTATTTCTCTTATCTTTTCCCATTTCTTTTTCACTGCTTCTACATTGTCAAAATCATTTTTTTACCTTCTGTGAATATTTGACCCCTCTGTCTCTTTTGTCATTCTTCCCTATTCCAAATATCATTTTTTTCTTTTCTATCATCCCTTTTACTCTGTCTTTTTCCCCCTTTCATCCTTCTTACCTTTTTTTGTGCCAGAGTTCTTGGAATGGTTAAGATATGGTATAGAAATATATTTTATTTGTTTTTTTTCTGTTGAATAAAACATTGCTTTTGTTCATTTTTAAAGTGAATGAGCTGAATATTCTCTCTCTCTCTCTCTCTCTCTCTCTCTCTCTCTCTCTCTCTCT